TTTAGAATCACCGTCAAGTGAATAAAAAATAGGAATGGATGTTCAAAAGATGTTTGACCTAAATCCAAATAGTAATAAGTCTATTATCAAAAACATCTAGCAGACTCAATTGCATTTTTAGTCCCCCTATTATCTATTTTTCTCGGTTTTGGTCCCCCCCATTTTCAAATCTAGGTTTTTAGTCCCTTAAGTTTGGTTTTATCAGGATTTTAGTCCCCTCACGCAGTTTTAGACCAATTTTTGATAACATGCAGCAGGAACATTCATCATGTCTTTCCGAGCTTTCACATTGAGCTCTTTCATAAGATTCATTGCTCTCTCCCATGTAGGTATTGTTGTGGCTCTAGCTGCCCTCCATAAAGCCTCCTTCATCTCTATCCCAGAATATTTATTTCTCCAATTGCCATAAAGATGTTTCACACACAATCTATGTTCCACAAATTGACTTGTCTCTAGAATAGTCGGTATCAATCCCTACGTAACATAATGTAATAACATTACGCATAATTTAATAACAGAATGTAATTTGTTAAGAATAGGCAGAATTTCATGATGTAAGGTAATGATCCAATAGCAAAGTCCTTTCATGATGTAATTGAATAACAAATTTTCATAATATAGTAGTAGAATGTAAGGTAATGATCCAATAGCAGAGTCATTTCATGACAAAGTTTAAGGTAACGATAAAATGTAATAACAGAATGTAAGGTAATGACAAAATTTAAGGCAGATTTTCATAATATAGTAGCAGAATGTAAGGTGATAATATAGTAGCAATATGTAAGGTAATGACAAAATGTAATAACAGAATGTAAGTTAATGACAAAATTTAAGGTAATGACATAATGTAATAACCTTTTGTTGATCGGAGATAAATGCGTAGACTTTGTGTTTGTTAGGAAGATCCTAATGTCCCACATTGGTTGGAGATAGAGCATTGAAATAGTTTATATGGAGTGGCACCCCTCACCTTACCAACCGGTTTTGTAAGGTTGTGTTAGGCCAAACTCTAATATGGTATCAGAGCCTATCGATCGGACCTTGGGCAGCCCACCGTTTAAAAATCCATGTACCAAGGCCAAAACAGTGCTGGACGTGAGGGGGTGTGTTAAGAAGATCCTAATGTCCCACATTGGTTGGAGATAGAGCATTAAAATAGTTTATATAGAGTGACACCCCTCACCTTATCAACCGGTTTTGTAAGGTTGTGTTAGGCTGCTCAGCATAACTGAATGGCTCAGAACTTAGCCACTGCTAACTGATAACACTATATCATATATATCTCTATTAGTGTTGAATAGATTATAAATCATCAAGTAGTAACTTTATAAACCATTGTCATGAGTCCTTTGTTTCGGCTTCCACAACTGCATATGCTATGACCATCATCTTGTTATTTCCATCTTTTCCAAAGCCACTATCAACTGTCCACCAAAGCCACCTTTTAAAAAACAAGCATCCAACCCAATCAATGGTCTACATGTTGTTGCAAATGCAACCTTACATGCTTCCAAGCACACATAAACTCTTTCAAAAATAGGACCTCCTTCACAATCAGCGCATTGAATCTTAACCATAGAGTTTGGATTTGACTTAAGCAACTCATCATCATATCTTCTTAAATGTATAAACTGATCACGACCAACACCTTGAATCAGATCTATTGCTTTTCTCTTGGCTTTGTAAGCTTGATCAATGGACAACTTCACACCCTATTTTTGAAGGGCTTCTGCAATCAAACCTTTACATCTCATGTCAAGACTGTGTCTTAATGTACACAAACTTTCAGCTAACCTATTAGTTTTGGCTTGTCTATTCTTAGTTGTCCTATGACAACTATGTTCCTCAACAAAGCTAACAATTTGCCAAAAAAATTTGGTAGTCCTCATACTAAATCTTATATAAAATGGACAACCTCCCATGCATCTTACAACCAATATTTTCTTGTCACTCTTTCTTAAGACAATATTCTTCTTGTTATCCATTGCATATTCCTTTATGGCATCTCTAATTTGAAACTTATCCTTGAACATCATGCCTAGCTCAAACTTAGTGCTTCCCTTAAAAGTTAGAAACCTTTCCATCTCATCTTCATCACTTTCTTGTGGGTTATGAAGCTCATCTGAATCACAAGTTTCATCATTAGAAACATAATTATGACTGGAAGTACCTTCAATATGATCATTGGGTAGAATTGTTGTTCAGTCTACACTATCTTCAACACTATCTTCAGGAACTAAAATAATATCACTCTCACTTTCTTCCTCATAATTCTCACTAACCTTATAATCCAGATCAGTTTCACTCTCATCAACTTGATCTTCCTCCACATTCACATCAGCTTTATCTTCCTTCACATTCACATCAGCTTTATCTTCATCCACATTCACATCAGCTTCATCTTCATCCACGTTCGCATCAGTTTGAACATTCACATCATCACGATCTTCATCCACACTCACATTAGTTTGAACATCCTAAACTTCTATGTATTCAGGTATGGCAACCGTGTGTTGAACATAAACATCGATGACATGGAACCCTTTAACATCTTCAATAAAGGTTAACACATCTTTGTCATTATTCAAAGGTCTAATCCCTCTAGAATATGAAAACTTGGGATTCACATGCCACAAACATTTTATATTCCTATAACCTTCATTTTTTATCATAGTTTCAATCTGCATACAGAACATTAAGTCCACGTCCCAATCCCAATTCATTTCAGCCACTGTTTCACCGACATACAACATTACAGACTGATATATCATTTGTCCCTTGTGGTGAATTCTAAGTCTGACAGTTTGCTTTTCTACAGACCTATATACATAAAATATAGTAAAAAAAAATGGTTGCAGACATTATGGACCACAATAAAATAGACAACAATATATTGGGACCACAATAAACTATTAATAAACTCACAATGACATATCAGAACATTTGGGACCACCATAACACAACATTGCAAAAACACATATAACTCGTATAACTCATTCACAATGGTTTTCAAACATTGCAAAACCACATATAACTCATAACATAACATTACAGAAACATATATAACTCACAATAAACACATTCAGAAGATGTGGTATTCAAACATTGAGATATAGCCATTTACCTCAAAATATATGTTGGTCTGACATGTTGAATTCAGAATGAGCAATCTGGAATGCACAACAGTGGAAGTAGAAAGCGAAGATGAAATCAAGAATGTTGCAGATGTTTGAGGCAAAAGACGAAGACGAAATCCACAAATTTGTGTTAATGTGAATCAGTTTGCAGCAGTAACGTTGGAAGAAGAAGACAAAATTTAGGGTTTGAGGTATTGAAGAGAAATAGAAAACGCATGAAAGCTTGAAGCTTGAACTCTAATCACTTTTATTTTCCAGATTATTAAGCATGTCATAAATATAAATAAGATAAATGTAAAATATCAAGAATGAACCAAAATATTAAAAAGTCACAATTATTGACTTGACATTGACATGTGGGCATATCTCAGTGCCATATTATCAAAAATTGATCTCAAATTGCGTGGGGGACTAAAATCTTGATAAAACCAAACTTAAGAGACTAAAGACTTATATTTGAAAATAAGGGAACCAAAAAAAAAGAAAAAGATAATAGGTAGATTAAAATTGCAATTAAGTTCATCTCGTATTTTGTCAAGCTTCGCTATGAGATACCTTTAAAAATGTATGTATCAATAACATTGTTATTACACTGGGATTTTTCCAAGTTTGTGGTTAATTGATATATATAATCAAATAAATGTTTGAGAGAATTTTGTGAGGTGCAGATAAACTTTTTATTTGAAGAAAAATGTAAAGACACTAAAAAATTGTTAAATAAGTTGTGTTAGTTTTGAAGACACGTCGAACTTATGAAATAAAAATGGGGTTACGATAACTCTTCATAAATACAATTTTCAAGTCCTTTGGGTCCGTTATTTAACTTATTATTATTTAATTTTAGTTTATATTTATTTTTAATAAATAAATAAATAAATATTGAATTTAATAAGAGATTTATGTTTTTATTATAGTGATAATTGAAATATTTCAAGTAGTTTTATTTTGTGTTTGAGTTAAAATAATATTGAATTTTGGAAGAAAAGAAAACTACATGAGACATGTAATATATTAAGGGAAAATAAAGGAACAATAATATTGTAAGAGGGAACTGATTCAAAAATCTTGCTCAAAAATATGATTTTTTTCCAGTAAAACACTTCTGAAATTTTTTTATATCTTAACAAATGTTAGTGTTAAGTCAATTGATTTGTAAAGAATTTAGATGATATTTTTAGATTTTTGAAATATTTATATCATCTGCTGCTCTTTTGATTCCACCATCTCTCATTTTTTGATCCAACTGTTGATTGACCTAAAAATTGCATTATTAGACTAAACTCCAAATTCTTAACTTAATAGGCAAAAAATATCCTTAATATAATTAAAATAATCAAATAAACCAAATTAATATTAATTTATTAATTAAAATTTTAATTAAATAATTAATTAATTTATTAAAATAATCAATTTTTTAATTAAATTATTAATTTTTATTGTACTTAAAAAAAATTATTTTTTTGCGGGTAGAGACGGATACACCCGTTTTTCCCTGAAGGCAAATATGGACGGTAAATTTTTTCCCCAAGTTGAATTTGAGGACAAGAGCAGGTGTGTACTTAACCCCACCCCGTTGCCATTCATAAACTAATGTAAGGCTAGGTTGTGGCAGATAATCCATTAATATGAATGCCCATTTAAATAAATAGCATAAACACGGGGGCAAAAAGCAATCAAGATATCAAAATTAGGAAATATGAAAAGAGAGCATAAGATGACTGTAGAAAAAAGCTCAATAATCATAACTCAGATGTCAATACTAAACTCTAGGTTCAAAAACTGGAATTCATCATACAACAATGCTGAGGATATTCTGTCATGTCCATACAACAAACAATAATAGAAAATAAATTTGAAAAGCAATCATTCATCCTCTTGGCTGCGCAACCTGGCCAGTTTGTTTGTGACAACAACATCCAATTGTGCTGCACGTTCAACAATATCCTTTCTTTTCCTGGTTGACACATTGTGTGCTATTTCAGCACAGTATGTTCTGATGTTTTCAAGCAAGTAAACAAAGTCAGAATGTACAAAGGGGAATGATAAATTGTTAATCCAAATGCTAACACCTAAAATACGCTACCTGTTATGCATCATGAGGAGTTCTAGATCCTTGACATTGTGGACAACAAACTTCTTGAAACCGTTAGGCAGATAGTGGCGAGTCTTCTTGTCTGAACCATAACCAATGTTTGGCATCAAAGTAACTCCTTTGAACTTTCTCCTAACACGTGAGTCAATACCCTTTGGCCTGCGCCAACTTTCCTGCAACCAAAGCAGAAATAAGATAAAAATGTTATAACCAAAACAGAAATATGATACACGCCACATAACCCCGTGGAAACAATTTGCTTGGAAGATTCAAACAGCATTAAAAACAAAAAGAAAGTCATAACTAGTAGATGATTTGTATCGGACAACATAATTTGCATTCCAAAATCCAAGAGAATGGTACACAGACAAATCTATCACTACACGGGTTAAATGTAAAGCGTTGTCAAAAAGAAAATGACACAATTGTCATTAAATGTAATAGAATATACAACAGGAATTAGCAAAATAAAGCTTCCACTTATAATTATGATCTAATCTCTAACATGAGGAAGCACAATATATACATGAACATAAAATCTAGAGGTGTCAACTAGGCATGTCCCCCCGTTTAGGTCTGCCACACAAAAGCCTGCATAAAAATGGGGCGGGGCAGGCATAGTAGAGGGTGTGGGCCTAAAATCTTCGGCCGTCCTGCAAAAAAAAAGGTCGGGCTGGCATGCAAGCCTTAAACCCATAAAGGATAAATATTGCAAAAATTCTTGTAAATGTCAATGTCATCAAAAGCTGCAAAAAACGGGATGGGACGGGCATATCGTAAGGTGTGGGCCTAAAACCTAGAACAGTCCCGCGAAAAAGTGCGGGCAAAACAGGCATGCCCAACAGGACAAGTCTGTTTTGCCACCTCTAATAAAATCACATTTAAATAACTAAGTTATTAAATTTAAAAAGTTCCAAATAATCACAAGGATGGATACATAATGTTGGTGGAAATATGAGATAAATGAATATAACAAAATCAAAAGCATTTTTACTTATCCTGAAAGACTTATGAGCTAAATGAATATAACAAAATCAAAAGCATATTTGCTTATCCTGAAAGACTTATAATGTTCAATCAGAAAGTATTTATAATGTATTCAGGAAACTATTTGAGAAAGCTTAAACATACCTGTGAAGTATCTCCAACTAACTTCCAAATATTCATTTAAATAATTTGATAAAACAAGGACCCGAAACTTGAAAACATATAAAAACAAGTAATTATCATGACATACCTTGACACATATTCTCCTATCACTTTGAGGCCTAATGAACCTCTTCACACGCTTCTTGATAATCTTCTTGGTCAGAAGAGGAACCGCCATCTTGTCTCTACAAAACACACAAACTATTTTCTTAAATTCACAACCAACCTTAAAATTATTTTAAGACTACACATCAAATACTAGAAAACCTTAAAAATTGCTATAAAAAATTACATGAATAATTATGAAATGGAGGGTATTAGAAGAAGAAAAACACGAATTTACAACAAAATAAGGACATCTTCAGAGTTGGATGTTTTAAAATTGAAACATGATGTGGTAAATCTCCCATTATAAAAGACCTAAGGGTATACAACATCAAATTGGATTTAAAAAGTAGATCATTTAACACGTTAAAAAAGAAAAAAACGAAACAGGATTTGAAATTGACACATAGTAATTGGATAAAAGGAACGATACTGAGAAACAACATAAACTATCGATTACAAAATACAACGAAAACGAAGGGAGGAACAAAAAAATCAGCAGAGAGAGAGAGTTAGGAAAGGCGGTACCTTTGAGAAGCTTCACTGTGAGGATTCACACAGCGAGAGATGCATACAAAACCCTAGGTTTTTTTTTAAGTTGGGTTGGATTGGGTTTGATGGCCCAATAACAACGCCTCCTGACATCCACACTCACACCTGACAGCCCACATATTTGCATGACACCTTACATGTTTTCATAAATTTTAAAAATTAAAAAATTTGATACTTTATTAAAATAGTGTGAATTTTTTTTTAATATAATCATGTTTTTCAACAAAAATACAAAACAAATTAAATTTTTAAAAAATATATCAAAATTGTCACAATTTATCCTTGGGTAGTCACTTCAATTGGTGGCGACTCAGCGACTCAGACTATACTAATTGGACTAGACAAATGAATTGGCGACAGAGATTATGTGGCTCAAGGAGTCGCCATTCCGTTTGGCTACTTGGCCCATTTTTTTTTTAGAGTTTACAAATTTATTTTAATTTTAAATAATAAAAAAATAATTAAATTAAATTTAAATTTTATATATATATATATATATATATATATATATATATATATATATATATATAAGTTTAATTAAAATATTTATATAAATTGATACATTTTAATTAAAATATTTTGTTATACATTTTATAAATTAATGAGTATAGTTTAATAATATAAATAAATTTAAATTGGTTTAGGTTTAATTAAATTTAAAGTAATAAATATAATTGTAATATAATTTTAAAATATATTTTAAATATATTAGTGATTTAAAATAAAAATTGATTTAAATTAATTTAAATAATAAAAATTGTTTTTAAATTATAATTATGTTGAAAATTTTAAATTATAAATGAATTTAAATAAAAAATAAAAATTGATTTAAATATAATTTCTAAACACAATAAATATAAATAGGTTTAAATTTTAAAACATAATAAATATTTATAATTAACCATTGAATTTTAAAGTATATAAATTTTGTAAGGGTATTTAAGACATATCATATCGGGCACATACAATTTTATTTTTCTATAAATAGGACTGCAAACACATATATGTTTCCACAACAATGTATACCAAAAGACTGAAGTGTTAACAATTTTGAGTGGACTGGAGTCTAAAATGTCTGTATTTCTAAATCAACGTTCTTCGTCGTCGTCATCAGCATCGGAGGAACCCTTTCCAACATTCGATTTAATGAAAAGAAATGCACTAGTTTTTTTTCCAGCAACAAAGCCTCCGATAAAGGTGCTCTTGTGGAATACACAGACGTTTGAGCATTTGCATAGGGAACTGAATCGCTGGCTAGAAGGAGATATTGCATAGGGAACTGAATCGCTGGCTAGAAGGAGATATTGCTCCAGGAGACAAGATTAGGAAAATTGAGAGGTTGGTCGAGGAGGCTAGGAGAAATGGAGTTACTCGTGAATGGAGAAAAGTGGAAAATGATGTTGGTGTCCCTGTGACGATGTTAACACCAAAGAAGATAACGTTGATGGTCGTGATATCGTAGACGCCTTGGTGCATTGTTCTGTTTTATGTCTTTATGTTGTTGTTATTTTCAGAATGTTGTTGTGATATTAAGTTATGTTTGTTTAATTTTTGTCGCTTGCTAATTGTAATCGGTTAAGTATTCTTTAAATGGAATGAAATTTGCTATTGATTTAAAGGGACACAGTTGCATATGAAACTATGATTTGCTGCTTGATCCCACGTTAGGACATTTTGTATGATTGTGTCCTGGTTGCCGACATGAACTACATAATCTTACCATCTTGTCTGCGGTATCCATCTTCATTCAAATGCGCGTGTTGTTAGGGCCAATAGTCCTCTTTTACCACCACCTGAAAGCTACATGTGTAGACATTGCATAGACTTATCACTTGGTGCACTACAGAAAGAAGGTTGGCTGGGTCATGTCGCGCCTTCAAAAATGTTGCTATAACATGAGAGCAAGGCATACGAAATGCCTGAAACTTCCCACAATCACACCAGCTCCTATCCAGTTCAACACGGTAACAACCCCTAGGCCTTCCTTCGTTGTGATCAATCGACTCGGCAACACTGAACCAATCTTTATTACGGTCAAAGATTGTGACCAGATGTGTGTTGGCTTTGGCAGATTCGTCTTTCATGAATTTCATTGAAGTATCACTATACAGCTGACCCGATTGTAATACTGAATCCCACTTTGTACGTCTGCTATCAAAGAGTGCGCCTAGTCTAAAATATGTTGCCTTTACCAAGGTAGTAATCGGTAGGTTCTAGATTCCCTTGAAAACATAATTCATTGATTCAACGAGGTTAGTTGTCATATGGCCCCATCGCACTCCGTTGTCGTATGTCCGTGTCTATTTCTCTTTATCAATGTTATCAATCCATCTTAATGCATCCGCGTTTGTTAGTGTGATCTTGTCACGGTAGTATTTGAATGTGGGTTCTGTTAGTGCATATCCTGCGTTCACAACCTTCTTCTGTAGCGTTTTGTCTTTGATTTCCCGCATGAAATTTTGGGCAATATGTCTTATGCAATAAATGTGGGTCGAGGGAGGATCCTGCCAACCGTTATCAAGGTTGTTGTATGCACTCTTGATTGATGGGTGTCTATTAGAGATCAAACATAAGTTAGGTTGGGGAGACACGTAAAAACGAAGATTTTTTAAGAAAAAACTCCAACCCCCAACAGTCTCCCCTTTAACTATAGCGAAGGCTATTGGAAAAATGTTGTTGTTCCCGTCCTATACCACAACCATGAGTAGGGTGACCTTAAATTTCCCGTATAACCATGTGCCGCCAATTTGAATTATAGGTTTACAATATGCAAACCCTTTGATGCATAATTCAAACGCCTAAAAGAGTCTGTGAAAAATTCCATTTCCACCAACGCAAGTCCTATCTGGTGTACACGCTGACATTGTCTCCAATATGGCAACAGTCCCTGGAGAGTAGTGTTTAAAAGCCACCAGGAATTTTGGAAGTTCCTTGTACGACTCCTCCCAATTTCCAAACACCATTTCAACCGCTTTAGTCCTAGTAATCCAGGCTTTTTGGTATGAAGGAGTGTGTAATACCCCAAATTTTACCCTTAGATTAGTCGGTTCATGTCGCATTTCATCACATTTTTGCATTGTATTGTAAACTAACTGCTAACCAGTTTGCTCAGTCTGTTGATTTTGCAGGAAAAATCACAGTGTGCGCTCTTTAGCTTATGAAGGGCAAAAGGGTTATTAATTTGCAACTCGCTGACAATTTTTGAAGCTGAGTCGTCCTCAGGAATCCCTCGAGCGACCAGGGTTTCCATCTCTGAGTCAGGTGACTTATTTGGTGAAGAGCTGAATTTTATGACAATATTGACGCCAGATTTCTTGCGACACGGCACATTGTATTCAAGAGCAGAGATTCAATCGTCAGTTGGATT